GTACGGGGATGTAGGGGGACGGGGATGAAGGAGGACGGGGATGTAGGGGTACGGGGATGTAGGGGGACGGGGATGTAGGGGGACGGGGATGTAGGGGTACGGGGATGTAGGGGGACGGGGATGTAGGGGGACGGGGATGTAGGGGGTACGGGGATGTAGGGGGGTGGGGATGTAGGGGGTACGGGGATGTAGGGGGGTGGGGATGTAGGGGGTACGGGGATGTAGGGAGTTGGGGATGTGGGGGGTACGGGGATGTAGGGGGACGGGGATGTAGGGGGTACGGGGATGTAGAGGGTTGTGGAGACAATCAATTAGACACGGTGTAAAGAACGTTCACCTTTGAACAAAATCTCTGGTGAATTGTTTTGGAACAGAGCATTTTTTCTCCAAATAATGAAAGAATGTTTTTTAATTCAACCATGGGCCATTATTTTTTAATTTGTTTGATGAGGGATCAGTCGACCGTAATTTCTATTTTACACGTAGTTTTTTTCCCGCCACGTCATACGCGCGAAATTATTTTTAGATTACTCGTTGTTTGAAAAACATTATCTATAAGACGTTTGATGCTCAATTTAACATTAATATTTCGCCAAATCGTTCTGTCGACGAGCCGTAGCGTAATTCCTTGCATAATAAATCTAGAGTTATGTCCCTTAGTCTTGATGCATGGACTTTTCCGAAATTAACTCCCTTTGTCTTCAGAGAGAAAACGACAATAACACAAAGCTTCCAGCAGACGATAACCCTAAAGATGATAACTTCACGTATATTTTTCTTATTTACCTTCCCCCAACCCCTCCCACCTACCGGCACTATTTTTTAATAAACATTCCGTGCTCCATTAATTTTCTTTTAAAAAGAGCTGTCAACTTTTTATGGTTTTTTTTCTTCCCTCCTCCGACTTGTGACTTGGACTACATAAAGCTGTGGTCCAAGAAATAAAAAGCTAATGGCCTTTATATCAATAACCTCTCCCCATACATCAGATATACCTCATCCTCATATGTGAATGCTGGACCTTGCAATTCTCGCTGTTTCTGTATTGTGGAAGGTGTGATGAAAATTGGATTTCCGGATTTTATCTTTATTTTTAGGGAGCTGTCAGTTAATACACTGCCATGATCAAATCAGCTACGTCAGGTGGTGATGGAGATGAGTTTTTTTAAAAATGAATCTAATGACATAGTAAGTGAACACTTCATTCATGTGCAGAATGAGAAGAACTCCAATGCACCCATCACAATCTTTGCAATACTGATCAGTTCATATTGCGATGTGTATTGAAAGGAATCACAACATACATAATTCATCTTTACCTATTGTGGTAGGGGGCACGGGTGGCCCAGTCGTCTAAGGAGCCGCGATTCGCCGTTTACACCTACCCCTCGGGGCTGTGCACACACAAGAGGACATGTCCAGTGTATAATGCTCATCACACTCAACTGGGATAACACAACATTTTCTGTAAAGTGGAGTCTGTTTTCAGATGAATTTTCATGAAAAAAGGGTTCAGTAAAGAAATGGATTTCTTATGTCACCAATTTATGTACGACTCCACAATGTTAAGGACCCTCTCCCTTATTCCATGCCATGACAGATTAACTGTAGATATATGAAACATAGATACAGGAAAGACTCGGGCAGTCCTTACCTTAACCTAAGTAGTATTAATACATTGGAGAAATATAGTTGAATACTATTGCTATTGATAATGAACACAAATGTTTTCAGTGTTAAAAAAATAATTGAGGGCAAACCATCCTCAAAATGAGGTTATGTTTGGTTCTTTGTCTTTCCGTTTAAGTCCCTTCAGGCTCCTCTACTGAACATATCACTCACGTGTCCTTTTAACATTAGATGTTCAACATGTGCATGGCTTCAACAAAACTCAAAAAGACTGCGCATGCCATGACAGATTTACTGTAGATATAGGAAAGACTCCCTCAAATTGTCATTTGGAGATTAATTCAGACCATGCCACACGTATATACGAATGTTTGACAAATCGTCGGAGCATGATTCATCATTGATTATTTTTGACCACACACCATTGTCGTCTTTCTTGGTTCTTTGCATCATACGAAACACCGCCAACATGTTCTGTTGATAGCCCTTCCTTTTTTCTTGGGGCGGTCGGGTAGCTTGGTGGTTAAAAGGTTCGCTCGTCACGCCCAAGAGCCGTGTTCGATTCCCGACATTGATACAATGTGTGAACCCAATTCTGGTGTCCCCACCGTGATATTGCTGAATATTGCTAAAAGCGGCGTAAACCCATACTCACTCACTCACTCACTCCTCTGTACTCCTTTGTAATTCATTTCATATTTTCGAATATCCCCTACTGTGTTTGGAGAGAACATAACCCGAAAGAAAATGCGTACAATGGTACGACGGATCAACAGAACAAATATCAAATGACAAAAGGTGAGGGACATTAATAACAGCTTGAATATTCCTGAGGATTTTCCTGATATTTTGTGAACATTAAGACCTCGAGATTGGCTAACTCCGCGAGCCAAGCCCAAAGATGGGAAAGTGTACGTGAAGAAACCGGTTGGCCGGAACTTCAAACCATAGTCAAACACCTGTGCAGAGAGTGGCGTTTAAGGCGCCAAGCCGAACAAATCGCTCACGCCGCCACTAGAATACCTGAATCTAGTCTTCTGTGACATGACATGTAAGTGAAACAGATTTGACAACACATTTTGGTTGGAGTATTGACGTTGACATGTACTGAGTTTCATTATGCCATGCGTCTTTCAACCCGAGATATTAACCGATAACCGACATGAACATTGACTGGTGTTGCTCTTTGCTCACTCTGTAACATTAATGGGAAACTCTATCAGTTTGTAGACTATTGTTTTACAGCGAGAGGCCGATATCCGACGCACAGAAAGTCGCCCTATCTCACGTACTGGCATCTGCATGTGGGGATACAGGAACCGAGGTCACAGGACAAGGAAGACACACTCAAGCCACAAGACGCTTTTCAATGTCACGATCACTTCCAAAACTGGAAGTTTGGAAAGGTTTTGAGTTCACAAAAAGTTCAGAAAATAATGTGGTGAATATAGTTTAACTGTAGCCTGGCTGCTCTAAACATTCTATACACTGTCCCTAACTGCAGTGTTACATAATAAAAGAATATCCTGGACACCGGGACATGTACAGGCGCTTATTCCGGGAAAGGAAAACCCTTACAAGACAGAATGGCATTGGTGGTTTACAGACCGCCGTTATTTAGCTTGAATATAACTGACTGACAAACACAATACCGTTGCGTCCCCTCTTCGGGTCAGGATTCGCTGACAATTGGTTCATGTTACTGATACTTGATTGGTCAGTATCATACTCCTGCTTGTGGGATTTTACAAATGTAAAATGTCTTCGACCTGCATTACTTCTGGCTTTTAATTCGAAACAGAAACATATACATGAAACAAATATACGTTTTTTTACAATTATTAGACACTGACGCTCACACATGACAATATAATTACAATTAATAAATGTACTATGTTGTCAGTGAAGAGATAACTGATGATGTCATTGTAATAGTTTATTTGTTGTTTGACGCCGCACTCAGCAATATCTCATTCCAGGTATATGATGGCGGTCTGATGAAAATTGATGATTGACATTATGAGCAACGATCCATGCAAAACGGATACGATGACACGAGAATATGCTCATCAGTGCCTCCCTACAGCTAAATACCGAGAAAATGCATACACCACTGTGATATGAAATCACCAGCTGCGTGTAAGACCCACATTGTTGTACTCAATGTCTTACTCAGTGGTGAGGGGCGGTCGGGTAGCCTAGTGGTTAAAGCGTTCGCTCTTCACGCCGAAGACCCGGGTTCGATTCCCGACATGGGTACAATGTGTGAAGCCCATTTCTGGTGTCCCCCGCCGGGATATTGCTGGAATATTGCTAAAAGCGGCGTAAAACCAAACTCACTCACTCACTACTCAGTGGTGAACTGCAGAGGTTGGTGTGGCATACTTAGCTACAAACTGAAAGTCGGAAAGGGGCGGTCGGGTAGCCCAGTGGTTAAAGTGTTCGTTCGTCATGTCGAAGACCTGGGTTCGATTCCCCACATGGGTACAATGTGTGAAGCCCATTTCTGGTGCCCCACGCCGTGATATTGCTGGGATATTGCTAAAGCGGCGTAAAAAATACTCACTCACGAAAGTAATGTTAATCGATGTTTTCTATATTAATGAGGAGCGGTCGGGTAGCCTAGTGGTTAAAGCGTTCGCTCGTCACGCTGAAGACCCGGGTTCGATTCCCGACATGGGTACAATGTGTGAAGCCCATTTCTGGTGTCCCCCGCCGTGATATTGCTGGAATATTGCTAAAAGCGGCGTAAAACCATACTCACTCACTCACTATATTAATGAATTATACCTAACTTTCCAACAAACTATCTGCATTTGTATGTCATTCGTGGAGTCATTCACTGTTTTCACACAATCAAACTTAACCCTGGAGCTAATGTGCAAGTGGCCTTATCTTATCAAATGCACTTGATTCTTTGTCTTGCCGAATGTAACCCAGTTTCTATAATTCAACAGAGAGATAATAAACGTGGCACAATCCTCAGCGTAAAACATGCCGACAAGTGGTACGAGTACACATGCAGAACGAGGCCTTACACGGCGTGTATCGAAACATTCTATACAGATATCACAGGCTTGGTATAAATATCACTGGTAACAATGTATCATCAAACACATGGTAAACCACTTATTCTACATATACGTATAAATTATGACCCAATGAAGCTGTAAATAATTAGCACATAACAACATTACATATATATGACTATGAGATATTATAATTCTAGTTTATACTTCCTAGAAATGCAATGCTCATGCATTATCCTTTCGTGAATATTTGACCCCTTAGATAACATATCAAGCGGCACAAGATTACAAATGACTGTGTGTGAATTATATCATGCTATCATGACACAACAGATAGCGAGACAGTCTTCCAAAGGTTGTCTGGTGAAATTAAATATTTTCTGTATGACTTCACGGTATATGTGGTATTGTGCCAACACCATTATTCTGTATTTGATACATCAAGATGAGGATAGTTTCACTGCTTGTCACATTGATTTGGGCAACAGTTGTGACACCAGCATCTTCAGGTAAGCCATATCTTTCTCGGGTTACTTATGTTATGCACATGTACGCAGGGGGTACAGTTGGGCAAGCTTTATTTAAAGTTTTAGCATGTCAGTTTATGCTTACATCCTTTAATACTGGCTTCATTACGAAACACACTGATTACCAACTTGTTGAACGCCTCTTGTCTGTGGCGATCAATCCAAGGCACGACATGCTAGCCTGGTAATTTAAGTATTTTTTTATTTTTCAAAATGGCGGAAGTGATCAAGGGGCGTGTACATATTCAAACTCCTCATTCAGGCATTGAAACGCAAAATGTTGCCTCAATATGTTGTCAGGTGACGCTTGCTAGGAATTCATCTGTACTCAGTTGTGTATGTACCACAAGAGACTTCTTACGTAACAATTTCTACCCTAGATTCAGTCTGTACATCGTGAACGTCTTGAAAAAGTTCATTTGGGGTACATGTTGAGGCCTGTTTCCAGAAATTTATGTTTTCAATGTTTATCCCACGTATGTTTAATAATAGTCAAAACGGGTAGCTCAGCTGGCCATATCTGAATGTCTCCGCGAGACGGGTCCGATGCACAGACGCGTTGCCATCTTGGACGCGGTATTGTTTATCAGATAAATCATATTTTACCATTAGTGCTACCTCCCCACATGATCAGCCACAAAGAGCCAACACCCGTTCCAGGTGATGCAGCCCCCAATATCGTTATTGATACTCAACGACGTGTTTTGTCAATAATGGTTTGGGATAGTGACTAGCACTTGACACCGCTGATTGCCGACGCTACATCCTCACGCACATTGTGATATTGTGCCTAAAACATTTATGTAATAAATTATTGAGTGTGTGTGCAAAACAAGCTGATCTGTGATCTGAACTGTCAGACTGAACTGAACCTTCATGTCCCTACCGTAATAAAAGGGAGTATTGATGTCTCCCAGATCCTTTCCTATGTACATATGATTGTCCATGTTTCTGTTACAAATGAAACAAACAGCAAAAATGTTTATCAAAGACAATCTTGAATGTTTTTGTCATTAATGTTCACATGTTGTCAACAGCATGTTTGTATGGTACCTGGTTCATCAACCATCAAGTTATAGTTGGGTATTTGCCTCACAGATGCACACCATCTTCAAAGCTACCTAAACATACATGTACATTTGTTTCAGAGTTGAAGCTGGTGCACATGAATGGGTCAGCTATCCAAGTCTACAAGAAACCCCTGTGTTTTCAAGACACCTATGACGTGCAGTGCGGCAAGGATTGGTTTGCACCAATTAGAAACACATTTTCCCTTAAAGACCCTGCGTTTTCATCAGCTAACAATTGCACAGGCCAGAATACATACCCCAAAGTTTGTTGTGATGTGAATCCCACTGACTGCAATTTTACCAGTATTAAGGACTTTGACAAGATAAGAGATCTGTGTTCGGGGAAGACCTATTGCACGGGTCAGAGAGCACCGTGGCACCCTGTGTATGCCTATAAACCCAATATGAACTGTCCATATCAACAAGGACTGACAACAGTGCTGACAACACAGTACGTGACGACAGAGTACATGTGTGTACCATGTAAGTCTGTATAAGAAATAATCAATAGTTAAACGCTGACCACTGATATGCATACATCTACATGGCATTTTGGAAATGCATACACTTTGTTATGGCCGTAACCTTTATTTAAAATTCTGTAATGTTATGTACATAAATGTTCATACACACCACGTTGCCTTGCATAGCAACCTACTTTCGAGAGTCACCTCTTTTTGAGCTCCAAAGATACTTCGACTGATCTCGTATGTATTCATGACAGTGTGCTATATATAAAATAACAACACCATTTCTTTGCTTAAGAATGAACTTTGACAATTATTTATAAGGATGCACAGTAACAATTTTCAATTAGCGAGGAAATGGCTGAGTTTCCCTTCCTTTTTTCAAACGAGGATTTCAATGGTCGGATTCCGGAAGTTGAAATACGAATCAGACATTGTATGACACTGAGTTGTATAATCAGATGCTGTTTGTATATGCATTTTGTAATTCTTGTTAAATTACAGTAATATCACACCATGATAGCCTAAATTGAAAGGTCCAGTTGGGTAGCCTTGTGGTTAAAGCGTTCGATCGTCACGCTGAACATCCGGGCTCGATTCCCGACATGGGTACAATGTGCGAAGCCCATTTCTGGTGTCCCCCGCCTTGATATTGCTGGAATATTGCTAAAAGCGGTTTAAACCCATAGTCACTCACTCACTAACTTAAGTTGGAAGGAAAGCCAAAATTATTCAGGACATAGGTTTTTACCATAGGTTTTTCTTATATGCAGATCCTTCAATTCAAAGAATGTGTGAGAAAGGGACAAAAAAACGGTAAAGGACTGTTTCTTGCATCAAAACATTATCCAGACTACTATCCTGAATCTACAGGCTTTAACTGCTCCTGCAAGCTTATGTTTGCGGCCAATAAAGTACTGCAAGTTGCAGTGATTGATCTACGACTTTGTTCTGGCAGTGGTGGATGTGGGCGTTCTCTCAACATAGGTGACACCAAGGTCATTAGTGTCACTAACACAAAGGAGGAGGACCCTACCTTATATGACTCAGTCGTGGGAGGTATTGTTGGACTGAAGGAAATCTATTCCGGCGCTTCAGCAACTGGTGACGTGACGTTGAAACTTACAGATGTGGATTCCAAAGATGCTTTATTTTTTGTGGTTGTATCTGTATGCAGAAGGTAATTATTGAGAGAGAGAGAGAGAGAGAGAGAGAGAGAGAGAGAGAGAGAGAGAGAGAGAGAGAGAGAGAGATGAATATAGGCCTGAATGAACCATTATTGAAACGACTGTTGTCAGGTTATAGGTGTATATGTCAGAGTTCAGAGCATTACAAATTTTGTAGTTACACTGAACACGCCTCTCGTGACGTGCTGTTGATGAGAGTTAAATATTTCAGGTTCCGATATGACCTTAACTTGTAATGGTGAGACGACTTTTACTACACCCACCACAGCTGCACCAACCACACCGACTAAACCAACTACTTCAACAACGCCTACGACATCACCTGCTACCACGACAACGGTTGCTACAAAACGGCAATCCCCAAATCCTGGTAAAATCAATATATAGTACAGCAACTTAGTGTAAGGAGAGATTCTCGTCACCATTGTTCCTTTTTACTTAGACAGCAGGTTCAGAGTTGATTCCCGTCACCATTGTTCCTTTTTACGTAGATAGCAGGTTTAGAGTTGATTGTCGTCACCATTGTTCCTTTATCGTAGACAGCAGGTTCAGAGTTGATTCCCGTCACCATTGTTCCTTATTACGTAGACAGCAGGTTCAGAGTTGATTCCCGTCACCATTGTTCCTTTATCGTAGACAGCAGGTTCAGAGTTGATTCCCGTCACCATTGTTCCTTATTACGTAGACAGCAGGTTCAGAGTTGATTCCCGTCACCATTGTTCCTTTTTACGTAGATAGCAGGTTTAGAGTTGATTCTCGTCACCATTTTTCCTTTTTACGTAGACAGCAGGTTTAGAGTTGATTCCCGTCACCATTGTTCCTTTTAACGTAGACAGCAGGCTTAGAGTTGATTCTCGTCACCATTGTTCCTTTTTACGTAGACAGCAGGCTTAGAGTTGATTCTCGTCACCATCGTTCCATTTTACGTAGACAGCAGGTTTAGAGTTGATTCTCGTCACCATCGTTCCTTTTTACGTAGACAGCAGGCTTAGAGTTGATTCTCGTCACCATCGTTCCTTTTTACGTAGACAGCAGGTTTAGAGTTGATTCTCGTCACCATTGTTCCTTATTACTTAGACAGCAGGCTTAGAGTTGATTCTCGTCACCATTGTTCCTTATTACTTAGACAGCAGGCTTAGAGTTGATTCTCGTCACCATTTTTCCTTTTTACGTAGACAGCAGGTTTAGAGTTGATTCTCGTCACCATTGTTCCTTTTTCGTAGACAGCAGGTTTAGAGTTGATTCTCGTCACCATTGTTCCTTTTTACGTAGACAGCAGGTTTAGAGTTGATTCTCGTCACCATTGTTCCTTATTACGTAGACAGCAGGTTTAGTGTTGATTCCCGTCACCATTGTTCCTTTTAGCGTAGACAGCAGGTTTAGAGTTGATTCTCGTCACCATTGTTCCTTATTACGTAGACAGCAGGTTTAGAGTTGATTCCCGTCACCATTGTGTTTGTATCTCCTGCATACATAGATAGCAGGTTAAGTGTTTATTCCCGTCACCATTGTGTTTGTATCTCCTTCATACATAGATAGCAGGTTAAGAGTTGATTCCCGTCACCATTGTGTTTGTATCTCCTGCATACATAGATAGCAGGTTAAGTGTTTATTCCCGTCACCATTGTGTTTGTATCTCCTGCATACATAGACAGTTGGTTAAGTGTTAATTCCCGTCAACATCGTGCTTGTATCTCCTGCATACATAAATATCAGGTTAATAGTTGACTGAGGTCACCATTGTGTTTGTATCTCCTGCATACATAGATAGCAGGTTTAGAGTTGATTCCCGTCACCATTGTGTTTGTATCTCCTGCATACATAGATAGCAGGTTTAGAGTTGATTCCCGTCACCATTGTGTTTGTATCTCCTGCATACATAGATAGCAGGTTAAAGGGGCACTAATCTAACGCAATCCCCCCGGACTGGTTGTTGCCTTTGTTATTGTTTTTTTTTTCCCGCGGTACCCGGATATCCCAGAAATCTCGAGTAGTTCGCGACCTGTGCTGCGCCACCCGTAAAGCACCAGGGGCGTGCGTGTACTAGTCACACTCTGTGACGGTTCCGCGATTAGAATGCGCTGCGAATCATTTAGCGCGAATTTCAAGTAGAGCCGTAGCCAAGTCTATGTAAACATGGCCAGCCAGTACTTGCAATGGTCCGTGCCAAAACTCAAATGTGCGCTTTTTCAACGAAAAGCTTCGACAGCTGGAAGGAAACTTGAACTGATCGAGAGGTATGTAACCCATTTTTTTAGTTATCAAGTATGCTTACATTTTAAATCTGCGATATGCACCGCAATTTCTACTAGGCTGTCAAATAAGCGCCATCTCTGTCACTGTCAGGCCTACTGTGACTGACAAAATCAACTATCGATATATTTCAGTTGTTGCCTTCCATTAAACCATGACCTACTGTATAGTTACCTATAACCAAAGTACTAACTGTGGCCCCCGGTCTCAGATTATATAAATCCTTGATAAAAGGCGCAGTCTCCATTGAGTTGCAACTGGCCTTAAATCCGACTCGCCTAAAAAAATCTGACCCGACTCGCCTAAAAAATATATATAATATTTTGGTATGCGTTTGGCAAATATAACTTAGGTTAGGCCTTATGATCACAATTACTAGTATATTCATACACATGTATGGAAATAATAAAAAAAACAAAAAACGTATCATCCATAGAATTTGTCTTCTGTCATATTTACATCCTAAAAACATACATTAAAAAATCACTTAAGTCTTTACATACCTCATGGGTTCGTTATATCCATCAAATAATAAATCCATAATTCATATCCTGAAGATAACACAACACCACATGTTACTTACTTACTTACATGTACTTACTTTGGAGATTTAACGTGCGCTTTCCGACTGATGCGTATTTCGCACACGGGCCCGGCCAGGCCATTTAATGTGTTTCCGAAAGGGGCGAAAGTGGTGTGTGCAACCGAAGAGGGGGCTTTAGGGGTTGCTTATATAGAATTTGGGAATTTTGAGATTTGGAATAGATGCCGATGGGGTTGGGGAGGTGAACTAAGGGAGCTGGGTATGGTGGATGTTTGTTTGTTTATGTGATTTTGATTTGGTAGATTATTGTGTTTTTAGATGCGTTTTATTAGTTCCGTTTTGATTAAGAATACGCCTAAGGCCTTGAAGTTTTCTAGTTTATTTTGTGGGTTTAGTATTGCTTCTAGAGTGAGAGCCTTGTTTAGATTGAGGGTGGTTTGTAATGCGGTTCGATGTGTTAGGTAGTGTGTGCAGTGGATGAGTGCGTGTTCTGGGGTTTCTAGTTGTTTGCAGTGTGGGCAGTTAATGGTAGTGTGTTTTTTATTTTTTGTAGGTGGTTATTTAGGTTGGTGTGTCCTGTTTGGAGTTTAGTGATTACTCTGTCGATTTTTTTTGATGGATGGAGAATTTTTGGTTTGGTTAGTGGTTTGCTGAACACTTTTTTGATTTGGCTATTTGAGTTTAGATATAGGTTATGCCATTTCTTGGTGATTTTTTTATTGTTTACGCTTTTAATTTCTGATTTTGAGATTGGTAAGTTTAAGCTTATTTCTGGGATTTTGAGGGATAGTTTAGCTGCTTTATCGGCGTTTTCATTACCGTATATTCCTACGTGGGCGGGTATCCACAAGAAGGTTATTTGTTTGCCTGCCTTAGTTAGGTCGTTGGAGCTTTTAAGTATTTGATTTATTAATTTAGGTAGGTTTTTGGTATTTATGTTTTGGAGGGCTTGCAGTCCACTTAGGGAGTCGGTAAGTATTAGGCTTTTTTTTGTGGTTTTTGGATTCTTGATTATGGAGGGCTGAGGCCATGCCCATTAGTTCTGCCGTGAATATTGATTGGTTGTTTGGGAGTCGGAAGGATTGTGTGGTTTTAGCTGGTTGTGTGGTATGGACTCCGAAACCTGTGTGTTTGGAGGTCGGATCTGAGGATCCGTCCGTGTAAATGTGACACCAATTTGGCCAATTTTCGTGTATGTATGCTAGTGTGGTGGTTTTAGCTATGTTTGGGTCGGTTTGTTTATTTATTTGGCTAGCTAGTGTTGTGTCTATTTTGGGTATTTTAAGTTTAGGGGTGAAGATATTTGTTTGTTTGCAGTTTTGTTTAAGATTTTTAATTTGGTGTTCATTTAGGTAGTTTGTTATTCTTTGGGATATTGGGGTAAGTAAGGGGTGTCTACGAGCTAGAGCTTGGTTTTTGGGGCTGATGTTTTGGTTTATTAAGTTTTGGATGAGAGGGTTTGATTGGGACGCGGCCCAGAAATTTAAGCTTAGCTGTTCCCTGCGTAGACTTGGTGGCATTTCTCCTGTTAAGGCCTGAAGTGAAGTGTAGGAGCAGCCATGTTGGGTGCGTGTAATTAGTTTGAGAGTCTAATATTGTATTGAGTCAAGTTTTTTAGATAGAGAGTTGTTTAGGGTGTTGTATATGGCACAGCCGTATTCTAGTTTTGATCCAATTAGTGATATGTAGAGAGAGAGAGGAGGGTATCTTTGGAGGCTCCCCAGTTAGAGCCAGTTAGGCATCTTAGGGTGTTTAGGTCTTTACTGCATTTAGTTGTTAGGTTTTGGATGTGAGCATCCCAGGTGAGATGTTCATCGAAAATAAATCCTAAGAATTTGGTTTGTTTTTGAAATTTGATTGTATGGTTGTTTAGCTGGAGGATTAGGGAGGCGGGTTTCATGTTTTTATGTTTGAATACTATTCCTGTTGTTTTTTCTGAGTTAAGGGAGAAGCCCCATTTGTCAGCCCATTGTTGTATTTTATTAAGAGATTTTTGGAGTAAATTTAGGGCCATTTTCATGCTTTTAGTGCGGATCCAGAGGGCTCCATCACCCGCGAGTTTTGATGTGTTTACTTTAAGGGATAGGCCCTCGAATAGATCGTTTATCATTATATTGAAGAGGGTGGGGCTGAGGATACTGCCCTGTTGAGTGCCATTTTCTAGGGGACATTGGTCCGATAGAGTTTGGTCTATACCCACGGTTATTTTACGATTGTTTAGGAAGTCCTGGATGTAGTTTATTATCTGACCTTTGAGTCCTATTTTTTAAAGTTTTTGTATTAGCCCATCGTGCCATACCATGTCGAAAGCTTTAGAGCAGTCCACGGACGTACATACAATATTGTATATACGTCTTTGAGCAGTCTAAGAAGATGCCTGCCACCACATGTTCACTAAACTGGCATTTGTATTTTTTCCCCGGAGTGTCGAAGAATTCTCGCCTTTGATTGGTCAACGCAGATATAATGGTAAAGTGACAACTATTTGTTATCATAGTACTCTGTTGAGTTTTCTCAGGTAATCCGCTCAACTTGAAACAGCAACGTTAATAGATTGGTATTTATTTTTTATCGCCCAAACTAATCAATCAGTGATGTGATGTCACCGAGAGTGACACCGATTGTATCAAAACAACGCCATGACATCATTCACTCAATCAGTCAGAGCCCAGTCGGTTACGCTATTGGGACCGAGACTACAACACTAACATTTAGGTACATTATGTGTATAAAATGCATTACTATGTATTTCTGATAGTTACATACTTATTCTTTAATACAAAAACCGACCGTAGTTCGCTCCAAAAAAATTTAGGCGAGTCGGGTCAAAATCTTTTTAGGCGAGTCGGATTTTAGGCGTGTCGGGTGTATCCCTCTCAATTATGTCGTCTGTTAACATTCACCGCACTCCAGAGACGTCACCTGTTTTCGAACACCGATTACATTTTTAGTTTAGCGGGGCTTTTTATGAATATGATCAGCAGTGTCTTGACTCGTAGTTCTCAACAAAATTCGGTACGACTTCCGCCCGTATCCGCCAAGATTTGTTTTAAAAGGATTGAGCATCAATGCATTGGACATATTACTTTAGGATGGGTGTTTCGGGCGGAAGATTTTCCCAAAATTCTTGCAAGTCGACATTAAAACCCAGAAGGTTTATACAACTTTGAAACCTGTTGTATTCACAAAATATAGATGTTTGTCATATTATAATGTTATATTTTACTCTTCCTTTTAGTCATGATATGGGCACCAACATTCTGAATGATTTATGATAGGTGTACAGTGCAGTGCTTACTGACATTTCTGTGTCCATGAAATGATTACTGAAACTTGTCACATGAGCAATTACCATATTTTTATCTAGGTATTTTATAAAACAGGGAAGTTTGCCATCATGTCAATGTCCTTGTCAAAATGAAAATATTTTTCCCCCAAAAGAAGTAAAATGAGGGAAGGGGTAATAATAATCTCTCTCTCTCTCTCTCTCTCTCTCTCTCTCTCTCTCTCTCCCTCTCTCTCTCTCTCTCTCTCTCTCTCTCTCTCTCTCTCTCCCTCTCTCTCTCACACGATTTCAACAGCTGCTGCCTTCCCTTCGTCAACTGCTGCCTCCCATTTCCAAATAAACCATTGAGGGTTACTTCATCTACCGTATGGCAGGAGACAGCCAAGCTGCACATGATATCAAGGCCATAGAGAAAGGTTCTCTGATGTTTGAGGGGGACAGGGTGCTGGCATGCAGTGTTCACATACGTGCATCTACTGATGTATACTTAAGAGGCATCGTCAGTGCATCTTGGAAAAACAAGGTAAAATATTTACACACCATAAAATCAAAAGAAAAAAGAAAACCTTTTTAAATTATAATGAAATTTGTACTCCAAGATGATGCTTATCCAAAATACAAACTGATAAAAAGTGAATTTATTAATGGGAAATTAAATTGCACATACATTACATTTTATGCATGACTTCTATGCTTGGGTTAATGGGGGTAGCCTAGTGGTCTAAGTGTTTACTCGTCTTGCTGAAGGCCCAGGTTCGATTCCCTAAAAGAGTTCAATATGTGAAGCCCATTTCTGGTGTCTCCAGCCGTGAAAGTGCTGGAATATTGCTAAGAGTTGTGCATAACCATACATACTCACTCACTCTATCCTAGGTCACATACAATTACAAGCTGAAGGTAGAGAAGACCGGGGAGCCAGTCAACCCCCACTGCGAGTGTCCTGCAGGGAAAGGACCACATTCAACCTGTAATCACATCGCTGCGGTGCTGTTGATGTTGGAGCATTTCATCTCAACTGGCAGTGTGCAAGTTGGAAAGAGCTGTACGGAAAACTTGCAGTTGTTCCACAAGCCCAAAATTCGTACAAAGGTAGGTCATATTACAGCCAAGGAAATATCATACCCAGGCCTCAACTACAATGTTATGATGAGGAAGAGAATATATGGATGTCAACTTCTTTATTATGAGGTTAAGGGGGGTTCCTCATTATATAGAAGTTGACATCCATATATTCTCTTCCTTATGTGTATCACTTCTAAATGCCTTAGAAAAATAATGATGGTTTATGATTTTGTATATTAAAGAGAAACTGTATATGACTAAATACTTATGTGTTGGATATTGGAGTGGATAACGTTTTTAAATATTTGTATTAGTGTTGTTTTGAACAGGATTATTATGGCAATGTAGTATCAAAATATTGTATTCAGGATCACCCGTAACAGCTGCAGAACTGCCGTCAAAGTAATGGTCTCAGCATATGCTGGTAGATCCAAGGCCACATAAATACAGACAGATGAGTGGCTACAATGATCATGTGTGCAACCACGGACTTGTATAAAGGTTATATAGGTCCGTGGTGCAACATGATGACAAACTACTGCTCAAAGTCATCTCATAATATGGCCCTGAGATATCTTCACCCAAAGGCTGTTGTCCAGGCAGCTGCTGAGGACCATCACTACCTTAAACATGGTTGACACGGCACTGAAGGTACACAACACTGGAAATTCTGTTGTATAATACATGTACATGTAAATTTCTTTAAAACCTAAACTCTTTCAGATTTCATCTTTCATCACAGTTAAAATCATAGCTTATGAGGAAATATAGAAACATCTTACTGTTTGGGGTTGTGTGTTAATGAGTCATTTGTAAAATGCAATTAACTAATTTTGAAAATGCCTAATCATGATCAAGCAGATTAGTTCCCTTGTAACAGAAAAATAAACTTGTATATTAGGTATTTTCCAGATTACTGACATGTAAAACAAACTATGTGAAAAAATATTGTTTGGGGCATCTCTTTTTTGTCTTGACTTTTGTTTTTCTTTACAGGTAACTGAGGAATCTGCAAAAGATATAGAGGCAGCAACGCAAGACCAGGGCCGGAGCCCAGTGTGGCACACAGAAAGAAAGTGGCGCCTCACAGCCTCAAGGTTTGGTGAAGTGACCAAAAGGACCAACCGAAGAAATAAGGAGAAGTTATGCAAATCAATTGTGTCCACAAAAATATTATCATGTAAGCCTGTAATTCATTGAAAGCAGTATGAGAAAAGAGCACTTTCAAAATTTGAGTCCATGTACAATATCAAAACAAAAAAGGCAGGTCTATTTGTTTCCTGTTCTGAACCCTATCTGGGTGCTACGCCAGATGCCATTATTGATGCTGATAACTTGGTTGAGGTGAAATGTCCATATGCTGGAAGGAATGATCACATTAAACCTGGTAAACATTTTCCATATCTTCACTACAATGTAAACAATCAGATCTGTTTAAATCCCAGCAGTCACTACTACTGTCAGGTACAGGGACAGATGTACTTAGCAAAGCCTCAATTTTGTTATTTTGTTGTTTACACATTCTGTGACATGTTTGTAGAAAAGATCAGTGTTGATTAAGATTTCTGTCAGTACTCGTTAATTCCAAAACTTGAACTGTTCTATGCCAAAAATCTAAGACCATACATTGCTCCCACATTGTAAATCATGTTTTTTTTCCCCTGGAAACATCATTAAGGCATTGATGAGCTTGTGTCCGAGCTTGTGTATGTACTAATGGTAATAACCTTACATGCATGTTTGATTCCCATTGGGAGTTTGTGTATTAAGCACATTCGGGTTGTCTTATTCTTGAAATTATCTCAAAATCTAAAATGTCATACAGTAATAGCAAGATCTAATAGAAATATTCCTTTGACTTTTTGTTGATGATGTTCTTTTCTCTTATTCGGTTATTGGTCTCCAGCGTCAAATCAACATTTTGCAAACTTATTGTGACAAATGGTGACTGTTCGTCAGTCTTTATAACTAAAGTATCATTTTATGCTTTGGTGTAAATTCTGTATCACTTAAGAAAAAGATCCAAATAAGTTCACATCTTTTTCAAATATCAATTTGTTTCATATGCTCATGTCAACATCAAATGTTATATTAATACAAATTAGTATATATTGCATACATCATGCATATTCTGTGCCTTTATCTATATTTGCAATGAATAAGCAATTTGACTTGTGAATCATGCACATGTCCTATATGATTTAGCTACCGTTAAGACAGTTTAGTGTGAAGTTGAAGATTCATGAAGATTCCCTTTGAAGAATATACACAGTACTCAAATAATGTTATACACATATATTTATTCAGACACTCAAGAGAGAGATTTTGGATTTCCTCCAGATTTCACCGAACAGGTTTACAACCTGTTACCACGATGTACATACACATTGTAAGAGCATCAGTGGAGCGGTACATTGAGCTCAGGTGTAAATACGGTACACAGAGTTAGAAATAATAATCTGCTGTGATTTGAGACTATTACAAGTCATTGGCAGGGTTAAAATATTGTGGTTTTGGTTTGCCAATCAATTGTTTGACTAAATATGGTAATACCACCAAACAAAAATGACAGCATGTCACCTTCATCTTGCATTTCAAAGCTTACCATATGCATAAATAACAAATGAAAAGAAGCAATTTCTTTGACACAAGAGAGATTCACATTTTAATATGACATGCTTGTGTCACAAGTTACACTCCATACACTGTTTGGGTCGTGAGGAGATTTTTCACACTCCGTTGAAAGCCAGAAGCCAGTACAAATGTAAGGTTAGCCTTGTATGAAAATGTTTTCAGTGGGATAAGCCTCAAATAACTGAAATATTGTGAGCCCATTGCTGTTCTTTGTAGTTAAAGACTGTCTCATTGACTAAAAATGACATATGTTTGATTGAAATTCAACTTTTGAAAAATGTTGGTGCAAATAATGAAGTTATATTCAGACAATGTGGGACTATATATACCACAGAAGTGATTGTCAATAGTATTGCTTATGTACACTCATTGTTACAGTTTCACATTCTCACTTCTTGATTGCTACAACACTAACATTGATTATACAATGATTCAATACAACTCATTTTTGTTTTCTTAATCAGTCCTTTTGACACATGTTATTTCAATTATTAATTTATCAATAAAACACATCAAATTAGGTATTGTTAGACTTTACCTTACAAATTGAATTTTCAACACCACCGGTCACATTTTAACGCCTTAATGAATTCAGTTCAGCTCCAAAAATGTGAAAATGTAGATAACTCTAATACTTTATATACATATTGTCATTTAGATTTTGTCGAAGATGAGTATCATATTATGTTTATATGCCCTAGGTACTCTGTGATTAGAATAAGGTATTTACCTTTTCATAGCTTTAACAACACTCATTCAATGGTCAATTAGCTAAATACAAGAAATGCACATCTCAATAAATCTGTTGCTCTGCATGTGAAACATGTTTTCAAATTACGAGCCCTCACATGACCACTTATTATTATGGAAAACTGTACTATAGGCCATGTGACCATACTGATTATATTTTTACTGAATAAGGCAGTGGGGTGGCCTTATGGCTAAAGTGTTTGCTCATCACGCTGAAGACCCGGGTTCAATTCCTGACATGGGTACCATTGGTGAAGCTCATTTCTGGTGTTCCCCGCCATGATATTGCTGGAATGTTGCTAAAAGCGGTGCAAAACAATTCTCAATCACTCGCACTACAGAATAAAATTCTACTACTACTACAAATTTCAGTCACAGATATCGCAAAGAAGAGCTGCTTCAAGCAAATTCATTTACAATGGAATTTCTGAAATTTGAAATAGCAAAACAAACATAAACAATCCGCGATCCAAGTACTACTTTACTTGGTGGGAGATGTTTTTCAGGATTTTGAAAGTCTTACTCAGACCCATTATCCGTTCAACATGGATTCTTTTTGAAGCAATTCTTCTGTCCTTAACAACATCTTCTGGTTCTAACTGTGATTTGCCTTTTAACATAGTTGGGGTGTTTACTTGAACATCTTGGGCTGCAAATAAGTCTTGAACCATAATGCCCCTGTCAGCCATAATGCTATCCTGTTTTTCAAACATACCATGTGATGGGTTAAGTAAAGGAGACTGTTCTATGATCTGTCTGTCACTTGCAGAACCCCCAAAAGATTCGCTAATAAATGAGACTGCCCCCTGGGTGTGCAGCCGATCATGGTTTTCAATGTGTTTTGATGTTTATAGCTGGACCATGTCATGCTCTGAGCATCAACATGAGATGGCTTCTTTATTGGTATCTCTGTTGCATCCAAAATGACCCTAGTGTTTTTAAACTTCTTACCGAAATCTGTTGGCATGTGATCATCAACAGTTGCTCTTGATGGCCATATCTGTAGTATCTTCAGTTGGAAATATAAGAAATTGATCCATGTTATTGCAAACTTAATTCTATGTCATCCTTGGCCTGTCTTAATTTCATTAGAGTTAAAAACAATTGGTATTTTGGGTGCAAGAGTTCACACTGATAGTTCAGTTCAAAAACTGCTGGACCAAGCGAGTGAAAGAAAAACAAGAAATGGTCATAATCTTGGAAACCAGCAATGTACAAAACAGCTTTGGGATTATTGATGTAGGTTTCTATGGAACAACTTCCTAACAAACTGCACTGAGCAGACTGAGAGTTACTTTGACATGTTTCAAGAGGCTCAATTCAAGCTACTTGGGCTTGTGATAGCACAATCCTCTCCAATACCAGTTTCCACCTCTGACAACACATTCCATATAGCTATGTTGGCTTCTTCTTCACGGAGTTGATGTGCCCTCTTTGGTCGAGTTGGTAGTGTTGATGTACCGGTACATAATGTATGTGGGAGGATGGAGGGAACCGCAGCTGCCCGGAGACGACTTCGTTCACCTTATGTTAAATACATTTAACATAAGTTACAGAAAAATGAAAGGTTTAAATTTATTGAAATGAAAACAAATGCATATTGAGGTGATTTTCCTCTTAAGAATTAAGAAAATAAACATGTAGCTTTTAATTTTTTATAAGTCTTATTAATTATATGAAAATGCAGGTGAAAATATTACTACACTGAAGAAATGTTACATGTCGAACGACCTCAAATTCCTCTAGTGATTTACTTATCACAAATAGAAAATTGTACAAAACAGTTTCCCAGGCCTCGTTGAGTAATTCTTCAGTCAGAAGCTTCAGGCTTGTCCTCATTTGTATGGCTCCTTAAAAACAGGAATTAATCACAAAGCAACAAGAACAAACATTAACAATGAATGAACCAAAATAATAAAAATATCTCAATTCACTTGCAAACATGGAATAAAACAACAATACACAAGTTGAAGACACATACATGGTCATTTTTATGATATTCATTATCAAAATGTGTGTGTACGCTATACAGAGCTACGGATAAGCTGCATATTTGTGTAAAATACTCCCAAAAATATTAAAACCAAATCTTGTGTACAAAAACGCATGCATTAAAGGAAAAACTCAAATGCATAAAAACAGTACGCGTAAATACCCAATGAAGCTTTTTCAGCAAGGGTACAACGGAGCTAATTTCCGAAACACAATTATGAGCTAATTTACTTTCTGAGTCAAGCCTTTATATTAAGTACAGTTATATACATCTAATAATTGTTCACTAATTTTGGGAAAATCCCAATAGAGTGATGTATGGATGAGTGAAATAATATTGGTTACCCTATGAAAAATGTTATACTTATAAACCATTTAATATAGAAACCCTCGAGTAAAAACTCAATTGCTCAAAAAGTTATCTGCAGCTCTGATTATAGAAATATCTTTACATTGCTTTATGATGGCAGAAACTTGATCACATTTACGAAGGTAAATGGGTCTGTGAATAGTGGGGCGGTTAAGGCTGGATTTTAGACAAAATTGTGCTCTTTGGGTTAAAAGCACCAAACACTTCTACATTGAAACATTCCAAACATTTCTGGATATGGATCCACCTCAGCAGCGCCACCTGGTGGTAGAAAATCCAAGATGGCCGCCAAAATGGTTAAAATCTATTATGACGTCAATTTATATTCAATATATCATCATTATTTTGTCAATTTTAGTCATTTATATAAAATTAATTGCGTCAATGTTGTATATAATTCAAATCTAATATGCAGCGCCCACTGGTGGCGAAGAGAATCCAAGATGGCCGCCAAAATGACTTAATCTTCATAAAATGTCCACAATTACAGTGTCATTTGCTCATTGGAATCATTTCAATCAAATCTGGCTTTAAAACAATTCCAAGTAATGCTTTAGTGAATGTATAAGCTTTTGGTACTTAAATTCATTCATTTGAAGCAAGATCTGTATTCCGTAAGGCAGATCTGGGGAATATTTTGGACTGCATGAACTTGGTTAAAATTCTGTAACTGAACTTGGAATGTGATAAAGATATTGGACCAGCACTGAAACATGCTTTTTTTATTCTGAATCATTAAGGCTAACTAAACGAGCAACACTTATCCACAGATGTGATTAAGGGTTGAAACAAACTTTCAGAGGAACATTTCCTTCTGACTGCCATAAACAGTATGTACCTGCCTCTTTGAAAGCTCTAGTCAGTATGAAATTTGTAGGACCAGGTATGAAAAAAAATCCTCAAGCATTCCAAACTACAGTTAATTACGGTTATAACGAACTCAAAGGGACCATTAATTTTAGTTCGTTGTAACTGAAGTTCGTTATAACAATTATACACCATATATACAGCAAATGGCTTGGACCAAAAAAACCAGTTCCGCCAGTTCGTTATAAGCGTGTTCATTATAAACGTAGTTTACTGTATCTCAAAACATCTTGTCTTCAAAGCATGAAATCTCGGTGCACCAGCTCACACGTTATGACCACACCCTCATTAAAAAACTAGACTCAGTCCAGTATCAGGCTCTAAAACTAATCACACGAACTCAACATGGCACCTCCTCCACCTCACTCCAGGCCTTAACAGGAGAAGTGCCACTTAAACTACGTAGGGGACAACTAACCCTAAACTTCTGGGCCGCGTCCCAATCAAACCCTCTAATCCAAAACATAAAAAACAACAATATGAGCGCCAAAAACCAAGCCCTAGCCCGGAAACATCGACTACTTACTCCAATATTCCAAAGAATAATCAATGACCTAAATGAACACAAAATAAATCATCTCAAACAAAACAGTAAACAATCAAATATCTTCACCCCAAAACTTAAAATACCTAAGATAGACACTAGCCAATACACTATTTAACAGACTGACCCTAACATCGCTAAAACTACCACACTAGCATACATACACGAAAATTGGCCAAATTGGTGTCACATATACACAGACGGATACTCAGATCCGATCTCCAAATACACAGGTTTCGGAGTCCACATCGCACAACCAACTAAAATAAACCAATCCTACCGACTCCCAAACAACCAATCCATATTCACAGCCGAACTAATGGGCATGGCCTCAGCCCTACACAATCTAATAAACCAAATACTCATAAGCTCAAACGACTTAACTATGGAAGGTAAACAAATAGAATTCATTGGGATCCCCGCCCACGTAGGAATCTTTGGCAATGAAAACACCGATAAAGCAGCCAAATTATCCCTTAAACTCCCAGAAATAAGCTTAAACCTACCTATCTCAAAATCAGAAATTTAAAGGTTTCACTAAACAAAAAATCACAAAAAAATGGCAAAATATATACCTAAACTCAAATAGCCAAATCAGAAAAGTTCTTTAAAAAAAACCTAACTAAACCAAAAATACTACACCCATCCAAAAAGATCGAGATAATAATCACCAAACCACAAACAGGCCACACCAAACTAAATAACCAACTTAAAATAGCTGAACTACACGCAACAGAAACCTGCCCACACTGCAAACAACAAGAAACACCAGAACACGTACTCATTCACTGCACACACTACCAAACACACCGAACCGCATTACAAACCAACCTAAATCTTAATACTGCACTTACTCTAGAATCAATCCTAAATCAACAAAATAAATTAGAAAAATTCAAAGCCTTAGGCATATACTTAATTAAAACGGGACTAATTAGTCGCATCTAAACCCCAAATAAACTAATAAAACCCAAATCACATAAACTAACAAACCACCCACCACTTCCTTAGTTCGCCCCCTACCCACTCTTGGCATTCATTCCAAATCTCAAAATTACTATATAATCAACCCTTAAACACCCCTCCTGGGTTGTACCACCACTTCCTTTTTCCCCTTTCGGAAACATCAAATGGCCTGGCGGGCCCGTGTGCGACACACGATTGCAGTCGGAAAGCGCACGTAAAATCTCCAATATAAGTAAGTAGGTACCGGGTTACCCATGAAACGAACATGGAAGAGCTAACAAGACTAGCTCAAATAGTAGTGCCAAAAACCTTTGAGATTACTAGCCTGAACTTGGATCTTTGCATCACTTTCTGTGGGGGCAC